ACTACCAAAGAGGCTCAGCTGCAGAAGCCCCCAGCTTCCCTGGAAGGAGGGATAGAGCTGCCAGACTGTATCCAGGCACAGCTGCTGGTAATGGGGATGGTGACAGCTCGTGTAATCCCTGACCACTGCCTGTCCCAGAGAGGGGCTGCTCTGGGTGGATAACCAGCCCCTCTCCCTCTCCTGGGGTTGTTTCAGGTGGAATTGCTGGGCTCAGTTGAATTTGCTGGGTTCTGCCTGCTGTCTTTGGGAGCATCCTCCCCATCCTGCCCCACCTCGGTCCCTTCCGGCTCCCACCCTCTGCCCCTGCCATGGGCGTCCCCCTCCCTCTGTCTGACTGCACTGCTCAGGATTGTGGTTATTAAAATCTGCCCAAACATAAGATGAAGGTTTGCTTTCCCTCCTCCCCATCTGGCTCAGCCTTCACCCTTTCTTTGAGGACATGGAGAGGTCACACTGCTGTTTCCTCTGGCCACTCAGGGGTGATCCCATGGGAGGGGAGGCCAGCAGGGAGGAGACATATCCACGGGTTTGGGTGCAGGATTTGCCCTGGCATTACCAGTCCTGCCCGCTGGGAGAGCCCCGGGGCGGGCAGTGGCTGCATGGGTGGTCTGTCCTCTCCTCCCTCCACAGCCAGGAATCCCTCGAGGCTCTCATGGCACGAGAGGCACCATTACACACTTCCCAAACTTGCTGCTTCTTGCCAGAGACATTACTCAATCCAGACACAGCATGAGCGTCCAAATCCCTGTCCCATGTGCAGTCGGGTAAGAATTACACCCAGCTTCCTGCAGGGAGCCCTCACCCACCTGCTGCAGGTGCAAATCAGCTCCTTCCATGAGAGCAACGTGTTCCAGAGAGAAAACATCAGAAAACATCTATTTTTGTGCCTAAAGGCACTTGTGGGGGGGACTGACCTGGTGGGACATCACAGACAGCGTGAGGGGCTGCAGGGGGAAGTGGTTCCCTCCTGTCCCCTCCTGTCCCCTCCTGTCCCCCATGCAGGGACCAGGAGAGGGGAAGCACAGCAGCTCTGGTTCAGAGCACACACATCCCTGCACTGCAGCAGGGAAGGAGGATCAGGGACAGGATGAAAGCCCTGTAACTCCCTGGTGAAGGGGCTCTTGCCCAGCCTCCTCCCACAGACTCCACTCCTCCTGCAATTTGTCATAGGAAGATAAATGGAAGCTCTGGGAAGAATCACAAGCTCCAGTTTGTCATAAGAAGCAAACTGGAAGCTCTGGCAGGAATCAGAAGCTCCCTAAGGCTTTGTGTAGGGAGTATCTATGAGGTCACCCCGTTCCTGCTCCTCCTATTGCAAAACATTCCTCTCTGTGGCTCTTCAGTGTAAGACAGAATCTGCCCTGAATCCATCTCCTGCTCCAGCAGGCTGCAGCTCCTGAGGCCAGCCTGGATCTTCTTTAAGTACATGGAGGTAAAAGCAGAATATTTAGAAGTCCCACGGGTCTGTGAGTTGATACACAACCAGCACTGAGCCAGGTAGGCTCTGATCCACAGCAGTGCTCCGTGGCTGTGCTGGGGTTTGGTGATGCTCTGCACCCTCTGCATGGACACACCCACCCATGCCCAGCATGTGGGGATGCAAAGACATGCTAAAGGCAGCAGCTGGGCTGTTATTTCATGGTTTAGACCAGTAGCCAGCTTTTACAGGACCCAAGACGAGCTCCCTGTGCCTGCAGAACTTGTTTTGTCCCAAAATATGTATTAGCTTTGCTTCTGTGTGGATGTTCTCCTTGTTATAGTGGTTTTCCTACACCGGTGTGTGATGGAGATGTAAGATAGTCAGGTGTTCATGTGTGTCCTTCCCACACAGCCCCTCAAAGTCTCCCTTTCCACAGTCTCCAACAGCAAACATGGTTTCTCCCAAGACTAGAACAGCCAGTGGGCACTGCGGGAGGAGCTGTCTGGATGCTCATGTAATTAATGCATCCAAAAAGGGGAAGCTGAGATGTTTGGGATTGACTTTGGTGCACATTGGCCTGCAGAAGGGTATAAAATGCTGCTGGAGGCTGGGAGAACTGGGCCAGCTGGTCTCCTGAGGCTGCAGGAGTTTCTGGATGGGATCCCCTCCCTCCCTGTAGCACACGTGGTGTCAAATGAGCAGGTTCTGGTTAACGGTGGGTTTAATTTGGGTTTCAAATCCCGAATTTCTGGGAGCCAAAGGAATGAGCTGATGAGCAGCACCTGGCATGAGCAGTCCCTGGGCACGGGCTCATAACATGAGAACATTTGGGGCCTTTTAAGGTTTCTTTTCTTGCCTCAAATCTCAGAGGCATTTCTGGATGTATCACCCCGATGGACCAAGCCTGTCTGTGCAGAGCAGCTTAACATACATTCCTGCTATTAATTAAACTTCCAATCTGTCAGCAAAATAGGATGTTTGCTGGATGGAGCCACAGATTAATTCCAGCTTTTTGAACACCCAGGCAGGTGTGATAACCATGGGATAGACTCATCTGAATTATCTGGGGGGCAATATCCACGGATTGGTGACCTGCTCCAGGGTGTGCATGGGCCAGTGTTGTTTTAGGCATTTAACTGGTGTTGCTTTGAGAGGGCTGGATGTGGGTATTTTGTTCACACAGGATGTAGGAAGGATGATATCATAGCATCATATCATGGAATCCCAGAATGGTTTGGGTTGGAAGGGACCTTAAAAATCATCCAGTTCCAACCTCCTTCCATAGGCAGGGACACCTTCCACCAGCCCAGGTTGCTCCAAGCCCCGTCCAAACTGACCTTGGACACTTCCAGGGATCCAGTGGCAGTCACAACTTCTCTGGGCAACCTGTGCCAGGGCCTCCCCACCCTCACAGGGAAGAATTTCTTCCCAATATCCCATCTAACCCTGCCCTCTTTCAGTATCAGTTGAGCTGTGTGTGCAGCACAGGCTTCAGGAGCAGAGTCACAGAGGGAGCAGCACCAAAGTGACCAGAAGGACTTTTTCTAGTCAAGATTTGTAGTTTCTGGAGAGCTGGTGTGGGAGGAGGATGGTGATACAGCCCCTGCACTGCCACAGGAGTGCACACAGGATCTGGATCAGCTGCCCAGACAAATGCTTGTCCTTGTGGGGAGGTAACCAGGGGAGAAAGAAACGTTTGGAGAGACAGATGAGGCTGTACAAGGGCCATGCACAGGCCAACAGGAACAACTGGAGACATCCAGGCTGATTTTAGGGTTACTTCCTAAGGAAATGAGCTCTGTAGCAGTGCACTGAGTGCCTCTGCCCTGGTAGCCTTTATCCAGCTGGCTGATCCAGCTGAAACCCAGCAGAGAAATTCCCCAAGACATTTCAAATGCCCTTTTAAAGGTGTGCAGTGGGGGCTGGAGCATCAGGGCTCAGCTGATGGCTCTGACTGAGGAGGTGGCTTTGGGGGATAAAAGCACCTCCAGCAGCTGGGCTGACTTCCACCTCTCACTTCATCAGGTGCTGCTGTTGAAGTAGTTTTGTGCTGTCATAGGCACCCAACAATGGTTGGATTCCTGGGTGTGTCCTGGGGCCTAATTCCTGGAGAACTTGCCCTGCTCCAGGCTTGGCTGCAGCATCCACAGGTACTGGGGGCTGAGGGCATGAAAATGGGGATGGGTGAGGTTGGGACTGGAAGGAGAAAGCAAGGGAAGGTGACTTAGAGAAGGGAGTGGTAAGCTGGGTCTGAGGGATCAGCAGCCTGGAGGGAGGGTGTTGAAAAGGAAAACAAAGGAGTGTCTGCAGCCCCTGGCTGTGCCCACTGCCCAGCTCCCAGCTGGCAGGGGGTGAGACTGGGATTCTCAGAGCAGTCCCACGCTTTATAGGCTTGGTTTTTTGGTGGTGCAAAGCCAAGTGCCCTGGGTAAGGAGAGGTGGAAAAGTGAGTGCAATGGGGTAACTGGAGATGAGGAGCACCCCCAGTGCAGGCAGCTGGGTGTGTGCCCAGGGTGGGGGAATGGCTGGAACCCCAGGCAAGGAACTGGGAACTGGCACCAACCAAGGCCCTGTGGTGCCAGCTGAGGGCTGGTCAGTCACCCTGGGATTCTGCAGCAGCCAGGGAACAGACCCCAGACACAAAAATAACCCCTGGAATGGGTATGTTGATTGTCAGGGAACAAAAGCCAAGGGATTTTGTTGGTTGGGGTCCCTCCCTGGAGGCACCAGCTCCAGCTGTTATTGCATCACTTCACCACAATGAAGGGACTTAAAGAAACCAGAAGTCTGGGCCTCAGGTTGCCCAGAGAAGCTGTGGCTGCCCCATCCCTGGAAGTGTCCAAGGCCAGGTTGGATGCACCACAGTGAAGGGACTTAAAGAAACCAGAAATCTGGGCCTCAGGTTGCCCAGAGAAGCTGTGGCTGCCCCATCCCTGGAAGTGTCCAAGGCCAGGTTGGACGGGGCTTGGAGCAACCTGGGCTAGTGGAAGGTGTCCCTGCCCTTGGCAGAGGGTGGAATTGGATGATCTTTAATGTCCCTTCCAACCCAAACCATTCTGGGATTCTGTGACTATGCTGTGGGAAACCTGGGGCCAGGTTGGTGAGGGAACCTTGTGAGTGTGGGGTGTGCAGGGAGTCAAGGGGGACACCCATGGGGGTCACTGGAGCCGCCTGCTCTGAAGGGACTTTGGTACCAGCACTGCCAGTCTGAGTGTGGAGTGTTAAGGAACACACAGCACTGGAGGGTGAGGCCGAAATTTTTCTCATTGTGCTGTTTTTTTTTCTTTAAAATGCATGACTTTGCCACCTGCCCAGTGCTATTCCAGCGCTGTGAGCTCTGTGTGCACTGCCCAGCACCCAAAGCCCGATTCCAAGCCCTTCAGTCAGGAGCTGCACTCCCAGGCCGGGCAGGGAGAGCACCATAACATCTCTGCAGTAACCCTGTTGGTTGGCAGCAGGGCACCTCCTGCACTCTGCTCCTCACCCGTGGCCCTGAGCAGGGAAAAAGGGAAAGAAAAATTTGGCCACTTTGCCAAACGCTAATTTGCTTGCTTGGTGCCCCCACTACAGACTCAGTGAGCCAAAGGGGAGCTTTTTAAAGGAAATCCTGGAGCTGTCAGAGCAGGATGAATTTGGCCACTTGACACGGATGGAACGACCTCCTGCTGACACCTTCAGTAAGTAGCCTGTGCACAGGTCCGGGCTGCCCGGGGAGGGGGTGCCCCGTGCCGGGGCGATGGGCAGGATCCTGCCGGTTGTTGCCCAGGGCAGGGATAAAGCAGGGGAAACTGGAGGATGCCCACGGTGTGCCCCTCCAGCGAGGGCACTTCACCCACGCTGGTCTCCTGCAAAACTCCGGGATTTCTTACGGTCTTAAAGATCTACTGAGCCGAAACTTAAAACTCGGCTGCAGGAACACTGATGAAGCCGCACCTTTGGTGCCTGTGGCTGCCCACGGGGAGATGGTTTTGTGCTGGGAACTGGGGGCTCTGCTGTGCTAAATAAGGTTTAATGTTCTGTTTGACCCTGGTTAGTTGTGCCGGGCCAGCCCTCGCCGTGCGTGTCCCGCAGCTCCCAGTGGAGTCAGGAGTCACCTCCTTAGGAAATGTGGGATGCGTGCCCTGAAACAGCCGAAAATACTCGGATTTTGTTACTGGCAGCTCAGCAGAAAACAGTGAGGCTCATTTAAGTTCTTGTAGCAGGTGTTTCCCGAGGTGTAACTTCCCCGCTCCGGGATGCCCAGTAATTGAGGTTGATTAGTGGCTAATTGGAGCCATTAGTGGCTCGTTTAAGGCTTCGCTGCTTGTGCGATGGAAATGGGCAGGGAACTTGTTTTTGCAGCAGGTAACACAAAAATCACTTTCTGTGTGGCTTGCTGCGGTACGTGTAGTATGAACATCAAACTGTGTGTGTTCACCAGGCTCTGCAGAGCCCTCAGAGCCTGCCCGTGGGTGNCAATGGAAATGGGCAGGGAACTTGTTTTTGCAGCAGGTAACACAGAAATCACTTTCTGTGTGGCTTGGTGCGGTACGTGTAGTATGAACATCAAACTGTGTGTGTTCACCAGGCTCTGCAGAGCCCTCAGAGCCTGCCCGTGGGTGTACGGGGTGTAATTCCTGCACCTCTGGGTAGGAAGTGACGATGGAGTCTACAGTGTAATTAAGTGATGGTGGAATCTGTAGTTTAATTCTTGGTGTTTTGCATTTTCCTGGATGTTTTCTACCTTCTTGCAGTCATGTATTTGCATGTTCCTGCTACATCTCTACATGCTCTTGAGACCTCTACCTGGGGGTGGGAATATTTTGGCTCAGCCTCTGTGGCTGCATGTGGGGCTGTGTGTGCAGGCAGAGATGCTCTTCCACCTAAGAGGGTCCCTGATGCTGCAGGTGACTCTTGTTGTGCCACAGCCTTGTAGTGGGACCTCTGAGAGATCCTTGTCTCTCTCCCACTCTCAGGACCTTCCTGTAACATTTCCTGCCATCTCTGGCCAGTGAATCCCATGGCTACACGTGGTCTCCAAGTGCAAAAGCAGGACCACAATCCTGGGCTGTCCTTGTTTTCCCAGCAGAATTTGCAGCACAAGGATGTTTCCATCCAGAGAGGTTGATGTTTTGGTTTAAAAAGCTGGGTGCTGCTCCCTCTGCCCCCAGAGAAATGGGTATGTAGCTGTTCCATGTAGCTGTGCTCTCTCATTAACTCACAGATCACCAGGGTATATTTTTTTGCATGAGTTGCTCAACTAAAGTTTGAAGATTATACAAACAAAAAGAGTATGAAATAGCTGGAAAATGGTGCTGGGATGGGCCATGACTGTAATTTTGCCATAGGACTGGGAGCTGGCTTGAAGCTGTTCTGTTGAAGGCACAAACTCCTCTGCCACCTCTAACAGGGTATTTCAGCCTGTGTGCTGGGGAAGAAAATAGCTCAAGGAGCTCCAACCAGCTCTTGAATTGCCTGTTGGTGACTTGTGGGCTTCAGGTGATGTGTCTCTGGGTGCTGTGGAGAGATCCCCTGCCAGCTGGCAAGGCCTGTCCCCTCTTCGGACAGTGCCCTGGTCCTCACAGCCCCCTGTGCCCCTCACAGTGACAGTGCAGGGAGCCCTGGGGGTGCTGAGGCCACCACATCTGACTGGGTGTGTGGATCAGCTGGCCTTGGGCTGTGAGGCACTTGCCATCCTGAAGGGGATCAGTTGTTTTCCATCAGGACTCCACAACCCCACGGGCTCCCCCAGGCTGGGGCTGGATGAGGGGTCAGGCTGTCCTGAAGCCAAACAACGTGCTGAGGTGCAGTCCTGCTCCAGACATCTCAAGGTGGGTGGGACTGGCTCCCTGTGGGCTCCTTGCTTCCCCTGGATCCTCCAGCCCTGTCCATACACCAGCTGCAGAGGTTTCTGTTGCCAGCCAGGGTTATGTCAGCCCTGCCTGCTGTGGGCAAGGATGCCCTGTGTGCCTCTGGTTTCAGCCTGTTGAGGTTGAGCTGCTCTACAGCCCTGTTTCTTGGGCAGGGATCACTGCTTGTTCCACTTGCAGCTCTGATTTGGTAGCCTGACTTTGTCCCAAGGGATGAGGTGTGTTTCTTGGGGAGCTGCTTTTTCCTCTGCTCCACCAAGGTTTGCTGGGATCAGTGGTCAGGAGTGTTGGAGGAGACAAATGGCATGTGCTGCATGCAGACAGACAGGCAGATGTATGTGTTCCATGCACTTGGAGCCCTGCCCAGGGGAACATAGGAAGCAGATGTTGGATTGGGACCTGCTGGATAAGCCATGGGCCCTCACTTCCTCCCGTGCCTCTGTGGTCTGGGTTGGCCAGAGCTGGAGTCAGTAACTCTGCAGGGGCTCAGGCAGATCAGTGCAGCCCTGGCTGCTTCTGCTGAAAGGAATGTCTGTTCATTTTGGAGTTTGGATAGTGGAAAAACGGATCCAGAAGGCAGGTTAAATAGGAATTGAAGCATGAGCAGGAAATTGAGATGCTCTGACTGCTTTTCCCTATTCCCAGGGAAGCCTGGGGGCTGCTCTAAGGTACCCACGGGCCAGCTGGAGACAGCTGGGTGTGTTGGGTGCTCCTCTGAGAGTCTGTCCTGCCCAGCCAGACCCATCCCCACCCATTCCTTAGACACCACTTGGGGCCAGCATTGGTTATCTGGGTTCTTCTCCATCTACCCCAGAGCTGGACAAAAGCTGAGGGTTTAACCTTCAGATCTCCTTGAACTTCAGCCCAAAGAAAGACCCAAATGGGTGAGATCCTCAGCTGGGCTCCACAAACTTTCCTCACTTCCACAAGCCAAGGAGCAGGAATTATCTCACTTGTCCTCTGCTGTGCCACCTGAGGCTTGTTCCTGTACCATGAGGACTGACAGGAAGGGATGTATCTGGACCATGAAAGAGGGTCCTAATTAAAATCTCTCTGGGGCCATGCAGCCCCTGGGTGTGCTGGCAGTGCTGCTGTGGTGTGCAAGAGCTGCTCTGCCCACAGGACAGCAGTGCCAGCTCTTGCTGGTGCCCTGTGCCAGGTCAGGTGAGCAGTGATGTGCCAAAATGGGAGAGCAGCAGGTCTGCCTTGGGCTGTTGGGTCTGGGCTGCCTTCACTGCTGACCTCAGGACATGGAGGAGCAGCAGGGAAAGCTGGGCAAAGAAATATTTCCTCCCCAAAATGTGAGATCTCGTGATTCCAAATGTTCAGGGGCTGTGGGTGTGTGCCCAGCCCAGCTGGGTTGGTGCTGGTGTGGAGCACCAGTGGTCCCAGGTTGGCTCCAAACACTGCTGCCTGTGTCTGCCCCTGGGGTGTGACATTCCTCCCAGCTCTGGCTCCTGGCTGCAGCTTGGATGTGCCAAAGGAACACTGCTGCAGCACAGGGAGGTGTCTGTGTGAGCTGGATGGCTTTCTGCAGCAGGGAGTTTCTTTGCTCCTAACAAAAAAAAACCCAAAAAACCCCACACCAAAGCCCCAAGAAACAATTAAGGAATTTTATTCTGTCTCAGCCATAGGCTCTCCTTACAAACCTACCAAGGGGTTTGTTAATTCGTGGCTGGAGATGGGAAACAAAGGTTGCTCCATGATCAGTTTTGCTGAGAAGGAAAACTTCAGTGGAGTGGTTTTGCTTTTGGACTGAGGAACAGCACTATTGGGAAATATATCCTGAAGAGGATGTTTTGAGGGACTTGTGCCTTTCCTGCTCTAAGCCATATGTGCAGCTGGAGCAGCTTCAGCCCTGGCTGACTTTCAGGGCAGATGAGGAAAACTAATTGGATCCAAATGCCCTGATTTGGCTCCTCTGAATAAGGAGGATCTAAGATCCAATGGGTGGTTTGGGGTGTCAAATGTCTCCTGTGCAGGGTTGAGTCCCACAGGTGGCTGATGTGGCTGATGGTTTGGAAGGGACTTGTCTCTGGAAGCCCAGCACCTCAGAGGGGCTGAACCTTTTGCTGAGGGAGCTCCAGCCAAGGGTGTGTCACAGCTGGCGACAAAAACCTCTGGATGCTTTTGGACATAGTGGCCTGTTCTTTCATTTGAGGGTGCCTCATTTGTTTTGAATCAACCAGCTTTATGAAGTGTTAATCTGAGACATCCCTTTCCTACCAGCTCAGGTTTGTGGGGGCCACTTGTTCTACTGGTTTTGGCTTTTGCCCTCTGTCTCTGCAGCCCTGGGAAGATTGTGTTCTGATTTTCACTGTCGTGTTTTCTGCAATGCAGATCAGGGCAGGAGCAAGCAGAGGGTGGTGGAAGGCTGAACTCTGGAGGGCTGAGCTGTTCTCCAGGGACAGCTCAGCAGAAGTTCAAAGGAATGTTGTCTTGAGCACAGCTCAGGAAGGAGAATGCAGGAAGTGATGAATTCAGTGGTGGACACTCGTATTTCTTAGGAATCTTGTGTTGCTGGTGTCCAGATTGAGTTGGTGTTTGCTTCTCTTGGAAATGATATCAAAAGCTTCCTTGCAGGAATGTGTGAGAGATGCAGCAAACTTGCAAGCAAATCCCTTGGGCATCCTGGTGGAAAAGCAGTGCACATTTTTAACTGGAAGTGGCTGATCTGAAGGTTTCAATGTGAGATCACACGTGTCCTGCTGGCACCTCTGTCCCTGCTGAGCTGCTGCCTGGTGGCCCCTGTCAACCCACGTGGGCCCAGGGCTGAGTCCTGCTGATGGAGCAGCTTGTACACAGTAACTTGTGTAGTAAAGGATTAA